CTGAGCTGTAGACAATGGAATTCAAGCACAAGTGACTTAACTATTTCCAATTTTAGCTCTTAAGGAGTTGCCATGTGCTGGCTGAACAGAGAGAGTGATCCAAGTCCCCAGAAGAGGGGAACGCCGTACGAGGAAAACCACCTCCAACCCTGACCGACCACGGGGAAGGCTACTGGCCCGGGAATAACTGCATTGGACTGACATTTTTGCCCAATAGATAAAGCTCTTTCGCGGTATGCCTTCACGGTTTATAAATCATAGTGGCTGGCATTATGTGGCTAAAAAATAAAGCAACTTGAAGGTCGGCTTCCAGGCTCACTTTTCTCATACTCACTTTGAATGATGTCGTAGTTGAAGAAGACACTTCACGAAGACATACCATAGACCATATAAAGTATAAATACAGGGTAAGGGGCTCACTGTTAATAATAGTGGATGTAAATCTACATTTTATTCATCTTCCCAATAACTTAGAGTTTTTCAGTGAGCTTCTTGTCAGATCTTAGAGTGTCACTGCATCTACTTCATCAGTGGCTGATGAAAAGCTGAAGTAGGAATAGAAGTTTCAAGGTCTACCCTGTTTGCACAATTGCAATATTAGTACTACACTCAATCCACAGTTCCACTGCAATTATCTTACTAAGCCACTTGCCCACTTTCTGGTGGTTTACTAAACTAACGTCTCCAAAAGGCACGCAACACTGACCATCTGCAATCCAGACCAACCAAGAACACAAGGAGGAAGTGTGTACTAAATATTAGCAATGCTTACTTCTTCTGTCTTTTAGGTTAAAAAATAAAAATAAGTTCTATCAGTTTCTTTCCATTTCCCCAGAGAACTTAATCATGCGTCCCAAGAAGTACATAAGCTTTTCATTGAAGATCACTATATTTGAAACAATACCAGACATGGAGAAAGACACATAAAATAAGAAAAACAGGCTAGTCAGGAAATAGACAAATAAATAAATGATGACGGTTCTTAAGTGTTACAATTAGAGTAAATGTAAAGTCCTGTGTCAGCTTAGAAATCACTATAAGATGAAAAGAGAGCATAGATTCCTGAGTGACCACAGGCTATCACAGCTGATCTCCACTTTAAGCTCTGAATCCAACATCTTTCACCTACTCAGTCATTCCCACAAGGATCCCATCTGTCATTAGAGTAACAAAACTCTTTTTTGACTTCATTTCCCCTAAGCTACAGTCCTATTTCTTTTTTTCTTTTTTTTTTTTTAAGATTTTTATGATGTATTAGAGAGAGAGAGCAAGAGAGCACAAACAGGGGGAGCAGCAGAGGGAAAGGGAGAAGCAGGGAGCTCCCGCTGAGCAGGGAGCCCGATGACAACATGGGACCCTGGGATCATGACCTGAGCCGAAGGCAGACGCTTAACCGACTGAGCCACCCAGACGCCCGGCTACAGTCCTATTTCTAGATTTCCTTTTTTTATCAAGATCCTAGAAAGAGCTGTTTCTGTCTGTACTGTCCAACTCAATAGTCACTAGTCCCATGTGCCTATTTACATTGAAATTACTTAAATGAAAAATGTAAAAAATTAAAAATCAGTTTCAAATGCTCAATAGCTATGTGTGGCTAGTGCCACTGTATTGTGTGGATAGCACAGATACAGAAAATTGCCCGCATTGCAAGTTGCATTGGACAGTGCTGGTCTAGACTATACTTGAATAAGAGTGAAGTCTTCAGATCCATACTGCCTGGATTCAAATCCCAACTTCTACCCTTACTACTTGGGTAAACTTGCGAAGGTTATTCCCCTCTGCTCACTTTGGTTTTCTCATCTGTAAAATGAGGATAGTAATTAATTCCTGCTTCATAACATTATTGTGAAGTTTAAATGATTTATATGTAAAGTGCTTAGAATAGTGCCAGCACATAAAAGTGCACAATGAGTATTAGATGTTGTTATTTTTATTCTTGATATTATTCTCCCCGTCTCTACCTTACCTCCCATTTTCTTTGACTGGCTCCAATAAGGCCTTGTCCACCACTGCAAGGTTTGTCAAGGTTTACCAAATTCCCCATCTTGCCAAATCAAAGGTCAGTTCTCAGTCTTCCATCTTACTTGACCTGTCAGAAGCACTTAACACACTGATCATCTTTCTTAAAATATTTCTTTCATCTGGTGACCAAGATACCATATTCCTTCCTTCTCTTCCCTTCTCTTTCTCTCTCTCTTTTTTTAATGGCTGCTCTATTTTTTCTTTCTTTTTTTTTTAAGATTCTATTTATTTATTTGACAGAGAGAGCAAGCACAAGCAGGGGGAGCAGGAGAGGGAGAAGCAGGCTCCCCGCCAAGCAGGGAGCCTGACGTGGAGCTCAATCCCAGGACTCTGGGATCATGACCTGAGCTGAGGGCAGATGCTCAACCCACACTGAGCCACCCAGATGCCCCTATGGCTGTTCTTTAAGTCTTCCCTGATGAATTCTATTCTGATTTCCCAAAGTTGGAGTAGCACAGAGCTCACTCTAGTTTTCTTCTTGATTTCAAGTTACCTTAAGTAATCTTATCTAGCGCCATGGCTTTCAATACTACCTGCCGATCACTCCCAAATTACATCCTTAGTCTTGACTTACTGGGCTCTGGACTTATATCCAACTAACAATATAACAACTCGCTTACATGTCTAAACAGGCATCTCAAAATCAGCATGTGTAAAATAGAGCTCTTGATTCCCCATGTGAGGCTGAATAGGTTATTGATATCTGACACAATTATTTTAAGTTTTCAAAGCATTTTCTTATAAATTTTAAAATATTATCTTTAAAAAAGCCTTGTTAGATTTGTCAGATGAACATTCTATGACTCAGATAAGTCGGGTAGGTTTTTAAAGAGGTCATATTTGATTATCTTATGTAAGTCAGAGTAAGCAATGGGATCTGAGTCTCCTTGTTATTTCTATGTGTTTTCTGCTGAGTTATAATGCCTAGCAAGTCATATTTAATCTTTAGGAATGATGACTTGAAAGGCAAGTGTCTGATTCACAGGCAAAGGAGCATACAAAATAGCATGGCGGAAGACAGATAGGACTTACTTGCCATGAGTACTGGTCAACAACATACCCTTATAAATGGTTCCCTTTTGCCAGTTATTGTTTACATATCATTGCTATGATATCTTCCCGAATAATTTCACTATTCTTTAGAAAGATCCCATTTTACTGAGTACTCTACTCTTTAGAAGGCAGTTAAGCAGTCTTGTCTGAAAATCCATTCTGGTTACAGTGATATTTATTTTTACAATGAAAAATACCATCTTTGTTCTCCATGTGCCCGGCACATAGTAGGTGCTCAACATTTATCAAAAAACCCCGAGCAAGTGGAAATAATTATTTATTTTAACACCACATATTCTCTAACTTATATAAACTTACATGAATGTCTGTTTTAGGTTTAGGTTCTGTATTTTTTAGTTTATAGGCTTTACTTTTAGAACAGTTTTCGTCTTATAGCTGTTTCTAAGTTTTAAGGAAAAAATGCAGTGAAGTTCTAACTGCTAGAGACATATAAAAAAAGCCCTCAATTTCAAAAGGCCACCATCTATCATATAACATAGCTAATTATGTATAAATATTTGCAATTTTAAAAATCATTGAAATATGTTCTCTACGTCCATAAATTAAATTTTTATTTGTATATATATATATATTTAAAGATTTTATTTATTTATCTGACAGAGACAGCGAGAGAGGGAACACAAGCAGGGAGAGTGGGAGAAGGAGAAGCAGGCTTCCCGCTGAGCAGGGAGCCCGATGCGGGGCTCGATCGCAGGACCCTGGGATCACGACCTGAGCCGAAGGCAGACGCTTAACGACTGAGCCACCCAGGCGCCCCTATTTGTATATTAAAACATAAAATAACATCTTAAAACACCAAATGAAAAATTCCTTTCAATAGCCACATTGAACATAGTGAGTTACAACCACAATATAAGGAAAACCATCAAATAACTATTTCAATATAATATTATTATATAAGGCTCAGATTCCAGAATTGCTGTTATAATTATATAAAATCAAGATTAGTCGGGTCCAGGAATTAACGTAGCCTCCAATTCTTTTGTGTTGCAGATTTTTGTCCAGATTTCTGTGTATAAGAACCCTAGTAATTCAAACATAAATGAGATCTCACCTATTTGCCTATAATTTATTTGCTGTAAAAGGAACACCATATTATATGCTTTTGTTTGTTAAGTAGAAGACATGTTATTATTTCCAAGATACCAGGGATTTAATGTTTAATTATCAACCACCATTTGGAAAGACATGGCTTTGACTCACAAATTTCTTAATTGCTAACTGTGGCTTTTCTGAGTAGGAGTAGGAGTGCCGTATCTAATTTACTTTTGCAGATGTGAGTTAGAAACTGAATGTTAAAGTTGCAAAGCTTTGAATATCTTCACTATCAGCAGAACGTTCCTCCATCCCCGCTGCTGGAGAATATTGCTGCTTGAAGTTTTCGCAGGAAAATAGAAACCGCAGTAAGAAAATTGATACTCCCGGTAAATGGTGCTTACAAACCGAAAAAGAAGTTAGGTTGTCAGCAATAAAAGAACTATATTATTCACACAAAATATGACGTGTCATCTCCATCAGGGTAACTTGCCGAGGATGAAAACTAATTTGGCCGGTTCCCTCCTGAGGAACCTAAAGGAAGCAAATATGTCACAGATCAGATAACCTTTAGGAAGGATCCACCACTGGCAATCCGGCGCCCACAGCTTGACTCCCCCCCGAGGAGGAAAGACACTGCATGCCCCTCAAGAAGAGGGGCCGACGTTCGCTTCAAAGCAGCTTCATTTGTCACTGCAAAACAAAGTTACTGTTTTATTTTCAGAAAGGTTTACCCAGTTTAAAAGGCCCCTATGTCTCTGGGACATGTCCTCTTCCACTAATGACTGCAATAAAATGAGCAAGAGAAAAGAATGCGTATTTGAAGGACAACTCAAATATGAAGTCAAAAGTCACATAAAAATGCCTACCCGTTTGGCTGAGCTGGGAAGCGCTGCGGCTTTTCCGGGAGAGGCCAACAATAGCTACCATTTTGGCGCCAATGCTAAAGCGCCGCTTTTTGCCGCTGGTGCCCAGGGCCCCCACCGCCGTGTCGGACTGGCTGCCGTCTGTCTTGTCCAGCGAGCACATGTCTCCACTGATGCTGGTGCTTTTGGTCAGGTTCTTCCCTGAGATGCCCATTTGTCTGCTTTGCATTTTGGAGGTAAAGACACTGTAGGCCGATGGATCGTTAAAAGGGAGGACAGGAGTGAAAAGGAAAAGACAGAAAATGTATTTTAGATGAAACATCTGGAGTATAGTTAAATGATACCATTTATGGGACCTATTTCTAGGGTTTGAACAGTTTCAAGTATCACGGGCTCGAATGGGCTTTACGATTCAGGGTCAACATCACGCAACTACTGCAGCTCATGCTCCTGATTTCACTTCCGCTGTCAGAGAAGGTACCAGTTTGCATGGCCACAGAGGGGAAAAAAAAATTCGCAAAAAATCAGAGGGCTTATTGAAGACAATATACTGTCCTTCAAGGGCAAATATGCTGTAAAACAGCTATACAGCAAAGGAAGACGTTTGCAAAAGCACTCTTCTCTAGTTTGCTTTCCTATTGCCTTCAAAAAGAAATTACAGGAGAGGGAAAATTCTTCAAAAAATAGCAAAACTGACAGCATCCACTGCTAAGAGTGGCCCTTCAACGTAAGTTTCCCTTGTCTCATAAGATTTGTAAGATTTCTCTAATAATGGTTAAATTTTCTAACAGAGATTGATGTTTTCATTAGTTTTGAATTAAAGATAAGTTATTTCACTTAACATAAAAATAAGTTATTTCACTTAACATGAATTAAAAATAAGTTACTTCACTGGACGTTAAAATAAGTTATTCCAACTTAACTCACTTATGAACATATGTTCATAAACATAATTTTATATTTGTTGATGTCTATATTCCAAAAATAAAGAAAAGGAAAATTTCCTTCTTGCATTCATTTGAAAGAAGGAAAACTCATTATCAGTTTTCTAGGCAATATGGTCAGAAAGCAATCAATGTCTCAATGAAGCATGTGAGCTGATTAACGATTACTGATTACTGATGACGATTACTGATTAGCTGATTACTCCCATTGGCAGTGTTAGCAGTGATTACTGATTACTCCCTAGCGTTAGTCAGTAGACTAACACTGCCAACGGGAGTAATTAAAGACAGGACCCTCGATTTTTCTGTGATCACTGGAGCGTAGTGGGAAGTAGTATGGGGGTTGGAGAATCTGGAAGCAGGCTATCCAGCTGGCCCCCAAAACCCAAGAGAATGTGAAGGAAGCGGCCTGTGTTGCAGGAATGGGAAGACTTATTTACACATCATTTTGACTAGGATTAGAGTAATAATTTCTGCTTTAATTTGGTTTTGATAATATGAGTGAATAATACATAATTATAGAAGCAAAAGAAACAAAATCAAGAAATATTAGAAATATATATTTTTAAAGATTTTATTTATTTGAGACAGAGTCTGTGCCGGGGCGGGGGCGGCGGGGGGGCAGGGGGAGGTGAGGCAGAAGCAGATTCCCTGCTCAGCAGGGAGCCCTGACTTGAGGCTTGATCTCAGGACCAAAGTGTTTGCAGATACTTAACGCACTGAGCCACGCAGGAGCCCTAGAAATCTATTTATAGTTCATTGAAAGAATGAGAATTAGAAAACTGACCTATTGAGGTAAGCTCTTATTTCTAATTCAATTTCTTGGTCTTTCTAAAAAAATTTTTTTTACTGTATCTTAGAGTAAAATCTGCTAAAATGCCAGGACCACATGTTAATTTTACATACATTTCCTCCAAGTATTTCAGAGGGGAAAGGGCTAGTGTAAAATTGTCTTAAAAATATAGTGAGCTAAGGGGGCACCTGGGTGGCTCAGACGGTTAAGCGTCTGCCTTCGGCTCTGGTCATGATCCCAGAGTCCTGGGATCGAGCCCCACATAGGGCTCCCTGCTGAGCAGGGAGCCTTCTTCTCCCTCTCCCTCTGCCTGCTGTTCCCCCTGCTTGTACTCTCTCCCTGTCTAATAAAAAAATAGAAAATCTTTGGAAAAAAAATATATAGTAAGCTGGGGGCGCCTGGGTGGCTCAGTCAGTTAAGCGTTTGCCTTCGGCTCAGGTCATGATCCAGGGGTCCTGGGACCGAGCCCCGTGTCGGGCTCCCTGCTTCTGCCTCTGCCTGCTGCCCCGCCCCCCCCCCCGCCCCCGCTTGTGCTCTCTCACACTCTCTGTCAAATAAATTAAAAAAAAAAATTAAAAAAAAAAAGTAAACTATACTATTTTACCCCTCACATTAGTTTAAGAAGAAATGAGGCATAAACAGGCCAAAAGAGAGAACAGTGTACATGCTTCTACAATACCCCCAATTAATCATTTTCAAGCTTGTCTGATTTTGCTCTTCTTTAATAAACAACAACAGAATAAAACAGAAAGAGTTTTGGAGGCAAACAGATATGGGCTCGACTCCCAATTTTACTGTTACTTAACTGAATTCCTTGGAAGAGTTAATTGCTCTACTCTGAGCCTCAGATTCCTCATTTATAACATTAGAATAGTCTATTTTCCCTTCTTATTTTAAAGAATAGAGATAATATAGGGTAAAAATTTGATGAATTGAAATCATAACAATTTTTATTAAGGAATATGGGCAACAGATAGAAAAAGGCTAAAGCCCTTCAACAAGTGTCATATAAATACTTAACAGCATCCATAGAAATGATATTTATAATTATAAATTTACAAACTTTCTAAGTTAAAATGTCTAGTCTCTTCAAGATAGCCAGCATTATATAATGGACAGCAGACTACACTGAGAGTCAGGAAATCCAGGTTTGATCTTTGGCTGATTCATTTGGGAGAGTTGTTAGCCTTTTCTGAAACTTAATTTCCTCACTTAATAAATGAGAAAATGTAAGTAAAGCACTAAACGGAATGCCAGTCACAGAAGAGCTCCAGAAATTAGTCTCCCCCTCCTTCTCCTTATTATCACCACCACCACCATTGTCCACTGAGCATCCATTAAACATCTTAAACTGGTGTTTCGGTAAGGTCCCCTTTAACTATGAAACACTTTGCCGCCCTATGATATTACTTATTCCATGGATTCTAGGCAAATAAACACAGAAATGCAAAATACAGTTTTCATTGTATGCTGTCATCAGAAAAGCCTAAAAAAGTTAAAGTTTATCCTGTCATGTAGGCATCTTTCTCTCAAACACATGCTTTTCTAAAAGAGCCACTTAAGCTATTCCCACTCAAGGAAGAAAAAGACATACTCACAAAATATTGCTTAATTTACCTTATGTTTTTTGCATTTTAATTTTCATGGTTGGCTATTAAAGCCATAAAGAACTTCGCCAAAATTAAGCAGAATACAATAAAATACTAACTGGAACTGATAAGTCAGTGTGTGGATAAATATTTTAATGACAATTTGGTTTTACAGAAGTATATTCTCTTCGGGCGCCTGGGTGGCTCAGTCGGTTGGGCGACTGCCTTCAGCTCAGGTCATGATCCTGGAGTCCCGGGATCGAGTCCCGCATCGGGCTCCCTGCTCAGCGGGGAGTCTGCTTCTCCCTCTCCCGCTCCCCCTCTCATGTTCACTCTCTCTCTCTCTCAAATAAATAAATAAAGTCTTTAAAAAAAAAAAAAGAAGTATATTCTCTTCAACCTAACAACTTTGATAATGCATTATCTACAAAAAAAAAAGGGTTATTAAAGTTTTGTAAGAGGGATCTACTCTTCATCTTCTAAAACCTTCGAGATCACCAGGGATGAGTTTTGAATAGCTACCCCCCAGTGCTGTGTTTTGAGAAGACAGAGACTGAGGCTAGGGTATCGCTACTGATTTCCTTGACTTTTCCTGCTCCACATCACTTAAAACTACAAGCAAACAATGTTGCAAGCAAACGAGCTATTAACCAAAATTTTTAAAGCTTTATGACTCCTGATTCATGAAATACTTTGCAGTAAAAAAATCTGTAAACATGGGTGATCATTTGGAATGCTCTGTGTGGTTAAGAAAACACAGATCCATTACATTATCAGTTACAAAAGAGAGTGTTTCTAAGGGTCTGGTGATACGGTAAATCTCCAGTACAGCTGTTGGGGTCTCAGTGATGGACTTCTGAAGGGCAATCTGGCAATACGTATCAAAAGCCTTTAAAAAACCCAGCCTAGCTTTTAACCTATCGATTCTACTTTTAGGTATATCCTAAAGGAAAACTTAGCAATGTGTACAGATTTGGCAATAACATTTACTGCAGAAGTGATTATAACAACACACTCACATACACAAGGGAAAACCTCATAAATGTCCAATAGTTGAGGGTATTTAAATAAGTTATGTTCATCAATAAAATAGAATGTACCTTTGAAAATGCTGTTGTAAAAAAGTATTTATTGACATAAAATATGTTCTTGATATGGGGGGGTGGGCAGAAGCAGATATTTGTAGCCTAGCTTTGGCTGGCTCTCATACCAAATATGGATTTACCTTACTGCAAGGGGACACAGATAAATTCAAACCCTGGAGGCTATCCATTCTATCTATCTATCTATCTATCTATCTATCTATCTATCTATCTATCATCTATCTATCTATCCTTGCTAAACTAGGTGGTTGGGGAAGCCTGGATTTGTGAGATGATCTACCATTTCCCTGCACAAGAGGCAAATGAGCAGAATATGAAAAATAAAATATATGTTCAGAATGTTTATGTTCTTATGGGGAAAAAAGTATAAATGCACACAGCAAAAGATCTAGAAGGATATGCTGTGAACAGTACACTAAAAGTAGTTTTAATTTTCTCTGGTTGGTAATCATGCTTTTTAAAAATGTTCTTTTTTTTTTTCTATTTTCCCCCCAACATACACAGCAATATGTATGACTTTAGAAAAATTAAAACAAATAAAAAGAGCAATCAAGGACTAGCATACATTTTTCTTTTAGATAGGTCAAGTTATTCAATCCACATAGTTCATTCTGTGGGCTAAAGGTATAGCATGGCTTTCAAGCTAATCCTAAGAGATTACCACACAATAATACTGGGTGTTGATATAGGATGCTCAGTTCTAGAAAGAGATGCAGGCATTTCTACATTTCTAAATATTGTTTTATACATGTTTTCTAATTTTTGACTTTAGAAAAACAATGGAAAACTTTATATACATTTAGTACTCTCACAGTA